GATATTTATTAAGAGTATAATACGGCCGGAGAGTTCACAAGGCAAATTCACAGTTTCATGTAAAGCAACCAAATCAACTCTGAGGACAAAGGAGAACAGAAACACAGATCCATTGCAGAGAAGAGAGGAGGGACCTATATTCCCGCCTCTCCCCCAACCATTACCAGACATCGGAACAAAGACCCGTTGTGCCAAACTTCTCACCCACAGGAAATCAGATGACCTCTTGACCTGTGTCCTTCTCACATTACAGGCAGGAGTATATGCGACTTAACGAAAAGCATATGTCTGTATCTTATCAGTTTCTCAGAAACGCTGAGAAACTCAAGACACAAAGAGATCGGATTAAAATATTCTCTCACAGTAAGGAGAGGGGGCGAAACAGATGGAGTTAACCACTGCTGACTCATTGCCTAGGGTCTCACCCAGAAGTGAAACTGGCCAATGGAGAACTGCCAACGCACTGGCTAGCTCGCCCAGAAGTGAAATCGCCAATAACAAATAGCTAAGGAGGAGCAACCTACACAACTCCTCCCACAGAATGTGTTTAAATACTGTAACATTCTTACAGTCAGCGCTCTTTTCCTGACTGGCTGTCGTGGTACGTATATCACACGGTGGTAGGAATTGAGCCCGGAGCACTCTGTATTTGGTACTGTTGCAGAGTGTTCTGTATTGTGTATTGTTATTTTCTACCATTAAAACAGATTATTGTTTAACTCTTATCCTGGTGCTTTGAGTTCCTTCTTTTATAATTTGACTAGCTCATCAGTCATCAAGGGACGCGCGGAGCAGAGGTGAACCTTCCACCACCGCCATTGGGTGGTGCTCCAACAAATCTCAGGTTATACTCTAAAAAGATAAGATACTATAATCTAAGGAAATGGCTCCTACACTGTTGTTATTCTCCAAATGTGTTGTGTACAGTTTGTGTGTGCCTAGTGCCTACATTATATTCGCAGCACACACATGGGAAATTGGCTTGAATCTGGGCGAACTGTTGGCTGTCCTTGGGTACGAAGTTAGGACCTTATAATCAATAATATCCTCATCCTTTTTCTGACTCACTGAGGAAAAACATACATTTGCCTGGCAGCTAGGGTCTCCAAATCTATTTGTATATTAGCTTAAAGGTGGGGTAGGTCATTTTGGAGAAACCAGCTCGAGTGCGCTAAAATGTGAAAATAAATAGCCGGAAAAAATCTGCCACTTCCTTACAGAGCCCCTCCTCCAACACACACGAACGCGCACATGACCAATGAGGGCACGAGATAAGTTTGTGCACAGAAGTGAACGCTGACAGGCAGGTAGGCCATCCAATCATTTTAGCCGGGCCTGCTAAAATGATTGGTCGTGCTTTTTACAGCGCTACGGCTTCCACAGATGACATTTTTGTATGTATTTATTGTCAAAGCATTTAATTTATTCATTGCTATCGGATGTTAAGAGCATTCCATGGAATACAACAAAAAGTGTTAAATAAATTACATGTTCATTTAATCATGTTTCCACACTTAACTTATATACAGTACCATAGTCCTTTCAAAGTATTTGTCAACACACAAAAACTTATATATGACATATATATATATATTTTCAATTATTTTTATTGAGTTTTCTTTAACGAGGTACAACCACCCAACCTCCCTTCCCCCTACCCCATGTTGATAATAGACACTGTGACTTGGTGACGTGATTTATGTCACACAGATTAAATTGAGCACAATTCAGGATATTGTTACCTTGTAATTTATATAATTATTTCAGCACCCTTCTGGATGAAATATTAGAAATCTTATTATTGGGTGTCTTCCTGATTTGACTAGCAGTCAATGCAACAGCAGGCCTATATTGACAATCATTTTAATAATAAAAGGGAATGTGATTGATGTTCATCCCTCTCTACACCATATAAAGGAATAAGATATTGAATTGTATTTGTCACACTTTAGTTTTATTGCAATGCTGAAAAGAAGGAGCCTTATTCACACCCTCAGAATATTACGAACTATAATGAATGACATTTGCATTCTTCTGATAATTAATTAAAATGATTTAATTCACACCCTAGCTAACCCTCAGGAGACCTGCTGATTATAGAGCTGTGTTAAAACATTAGAAAAATCACAATAGTTAAACCCTTAATATATAAACAAAGCATACAATAACATACTAATCTATAGAACAACAAAACCGCAGTTTGACTCGAAGTCAAGTAAAAGCAATCAAGACACAAATCAAAATAAGTGTATTTTGTTTGCTACAGATGGACATCAGGACATCATAAAGCGTTCAAGCTACCATTATGGATAAATAGATTATGAGAAAGACTGTGTTGTCACAAGGCAGCTGATTTGATTTAGGCAGCAGGTGGTAAGCTCAGACTCGAGCTGATATATAAGTGTTGATTTTAACTGTAGCTCCAGACAAAAGCTTTAAGGCACCAGTTCAATCCACCAGGACTCCTTATGGGACAGTCAAACAGCTTTAGAACCCTCTATGTTTTAATAATGTGACATCTCCCCTCTCTCCTTAATGGCTGACTTTCACCCTGCCTGGCTGTTCAGGAACAAACACTTCTTAAGCTGACTCGATGGACCACATACCAAGCAAGCTATTTCTTTCTGAGCAAAACTGGCCCTAATCTCCAGCATGTCCGTGTGTATTGACCATAGTGTTAGGGAATAATTAGCTTAGGTATTCAACCTTTGACACAGTTCATAATTTTCTCCTTTCACTGTCTCTTTTCCAATGGCATAGGTCTACGGCCTCGGGTATTGCTGCAATCTCTCTTAAGGAGGGGCAGCTTGGGCGCATTGTTGAGGCTATGACAGAGCACAAGCCGCCATGAGGTAGTTTATTGTTCAGGGACGTAGGTTCCCTGGCGCACATTCTTTTCTATGGACAACAGCTAGTTAGATTCAGGGTCCATATTTGTTTAGTCTCGCTGATGAGGATTGTTGATTATTACACTCGGAACTAGTTAAAACCTCAAATTACAGAAGAGTTCTTCAGAATTGGTTTGGCAACCGCTGTGACCCCTCGTGGCGGCATCAAATGCCTTGTCAATTCTCCGGCCGTAACTCCATAATAAACCATCAGTGTTTGCCATCAAAGTTCCTGTTCTCTCAATGTCTCTCGGAGTCCTGTCTCCATTGCTTCAGAATTTTCCATCACACATAGGATGCATAAAAGAAGTGGACAAATAATCGGGACAACAACCATGGCTTTGTGGCCCACAGTATCGAAGTCTCGTGGTTGGCATTTTGGCCGTTGCCATCTTGTTGTTTTGCATACGAGAGGGTAATACAAAGTACAACTAAATACTGAAAAGACATTTTTAAACGACCAATATGTTCCAATTAACTTTCATGATCTGAAAACACTTTGTCCAAGACAACAGCATGGTACTGACCTGTCAATCACAAGGTATCCTAGCCCTTAAGCATACCCTGCTTTGTCGTTTATTTTTACTCTAAATTGGGACTCAAATTAAGCGTAACGTTACAAGTATTGAAGAAGACTTGAAACATGCAATAGTAACAGTAAACTCACACTTTTTACTGAGGTAATAAATCAACAGAGAAGTTAGGTAATGTTATTATAGACTTGTATACAACAGGACTGTTTTGCAGCCTTAGGAGTTGGATATGAGGGAGAATGCAAGTTAAAGGCATGCATTGTCTTCACTTAATAGACCCGAAGGTTGCCGCCTTGTATCCAACAGCACACAGATGCGTCTATGGTCTGTTGGTTTGTGAGAGGTCAGAGCCTTCAACAGGATTGTTTAAAATGAGACATAAGTTAGTTTACATTGAATTCAGTTAATGGATACAGTCACTAAGGCAACATGCATCTTGAAATAGATATTATAAGATTGCCTAAAGCAGACTTTTTTTTAATAGGTTAGGTTAGAAATAATTGAGGGTTAAATTATTAAAATGCGACCCTGGCCTTTAGATAGAACAACTTAACCGTGAAATGAATGTAATAAATGTCACATTGTATGATACTGACGGGCTGTCATGAGAGGGAGAGAGAGAGGAAAAGAGATGCCTCGTTTATTTCCCCTGTGTTATTATCAGAAGTTACTGTAAACTGTTGAATAATGTAGTTCATCTACTTTTAGTAGTTTGTTTAAATGTTTTAATTATGTTGTTTTTGTTTGTAGAAGTGCATCATTCCTTGATTTATTGTAAAAATGAATCTGAACTTTTTGATCTGTTATGATGATAAACTGAAGCAATTTCAAAATGAACCCAATTAACTGAGTTTTAAATCGTCCTACTTAGTTTATAAGGAAATTATGAAGAGGAACAAATTAAATGATTTGAAAATTATATCTACAGTATGTAGGTGCTGACGCTGTTGGCGGTTCTAGTGTTAACAGACATTTAAATTAAATATGTGTAATGGCAAATGCCATATATGATTTTCTTACCTGGAATTCTGCCTTTTTGAACAGACTTTTTGAGTCCTAGCTATATTGTCTGCAGTTTTAGGGTTAATATTGATCTAATATGATTGTCATCAGTCTAAATTAGATTTCAAATGATTAACTGTGTATGTAATGAAGATCATAGTGTGGGTTGAATCCATTTTCATAACCACTGTCTTGTAACTGATTTAAATGCGGAAACTGGGCTTATTCATCAGAATTGTGTATGACTTAACTTGACTTGCTTGACCTGAGCAATGCCTTGACTTGACTTGCTTGACTCTCACCACAGTGACTTGGGACTTGCTTGATACTTGTAGGTCAAGACTTGAGACTTGCTCATGACTTGCACATGTAGGACTTACTCCCACCTCTGACTATTCACAAATGTATACCTAGAGCTTGTTGGTTCAAAAATATTTTTTAAATAATCAAGAAATTGGATTGAATTGGAAACCCATAGAAAGAAAACAATATAGTTTGGCATTAAGACAGAAACTAGACAGATTCAAATTATTTTCTGATTTAATAGTATGTGTTTGTGTCCCGTGTGATTCTGCAGGTGTTTCCCAAGCGGAAGCCTTGAAGGAGGAGAACGACTCTCTGCGCTGCCAGCTGGACGCCTACAGGAACGAGGTGGAGCTGCTCAAACAGGAACAAGGCAAGAATCAACCAATGATCAGCGAGGAGGACAACACACGCTCTCAGCAGCTTAGCTTCCTGCAGCAAGCTCTGCAGGGCATGCAGAAGGTACGTTTCATTCAGAAGGATACTAAAGATGGCTCATACATTATTTTACTAAATTATTATAATTACTAAACATCATGCAAATCTAACTCAGATTTTGTCGCGTATCTATTGTGACGTTTGGATATTACTTGTACCCCAAAGCAGAGACTGACAAAAATAAAGTTTCAATGTGTTTAATAAACGAAGGTAGTCCAAGGCAGGTACTGACGACAGGGAGCTGGCTGGCCGTAGTAAGTCCAAAAACAAAGCTGCGGGAAAACGTTCCCGACAAAAACTCAAAAGAAAACTCCTTAACAAACTGTGAAGTGAACAAAAACAGACCGCGGAACAGCATGTAATTCTCTGGCAGAGAAGTGAGGTGAGGGCCAGGCTCTTAAAGAGCAGGTTGATCATGTGAGTGGGGACAGGTGTGCCTCATCTGCAGCCAGGAGTCTACCAGCCACGCCCCCTGTCACACACCAGCCCTGCAGAGACGGAGAGACAGAGTAGTGAGGGATAAAAGGAGCAAATAACAAGTAAAACACAACAACAAAAACCCCATGCAAAACATAACATTTATTACATTATATCATCTCACTGGCTGTATCCTTTGATTCAAATTAAAGCACCAAACAGATGACTTGAGTCAGTAGTTTTTACACATGCATTATTTTAAAATGAGCAATATATTATTGAGTAATATGATTCCAAATAGAATACAAGCATCTAAATCTAAATAAATGCATCCCTAACGTTTTTGTTTCAAAAAATATCCACCCGATCAATCAATCTAGTATTTTGTATAATATATACCATACATAGTATAATCAAGTTTTTTTTCCCTCCGGAACAATCAACAAATATCATTTGTTTCCTGTATATCATTTTTTCTTTGAGAATTTCCATGCTACCAGAATAATAAGAAATCACTTAGCTGTTGCACTTGATTCAGAACACTCTTGAAACATGTTTGTAAAAGGTCCTGGCCTAATCATACTTCGAAATGATTCCATTATCAGCTAAAGAATACGTTGTACAAAAGCCCCATTTTAGTCATGCAGGAAGTTTGTTGGCATTCTGTGTCGTTCCAATCAGCATGATTACCATCTTCTTGCTGTTAAAGCAGCTTCAATCTTTGCATTCCTGTGCCCTGTGCGATATTGCAAAAATCATAGCAAGTGGACTGTTATTTTTTAGTGTAAATGGCAGCTTTGGCTTATCATAGCTATTAGTAATCAGGGATTCAAGAAGAGATCAGACTTCACAGCCCCAGGTCATCTACAGGGCTGTTGCACAAGAAAAAGTGTTTCAGTTCACTGTAAAACAAGTATTAAAGCAGTTACGCTTTTCGCCCAGCAGCCGGAGGGATATACAGTATTTGTAATGGAAAAATGTATTTTCACTGATAAAGTCTATATTAGAGTAACCCTTATTTTTTCAAGATAAGAAAAATAATGTTTCTTTTGCAGGGAACGTTGGTCAAACTAGATTTTAAAGATCTCAGGGTTCAGGGCTTTGGTTTCAAAAGGCAATAACATGATTAACATAAGAATACCCGCTCGCAGGGGGGGCCAACAGGGGCCAGTCCCTGACTTCCCTTAAAAAAAAAGGTTAGAATATTACGATTTATTGGAACAAAATTAAATCAGACACCCGGATGTAAAGTGAAGATTAAACTGTTCATAACTTTATATAAAAGTAAATACTGTTTTTGTTTTTTATTTAAATTGTCCCTTAAAGTAAGTACTAAAACAAATACCTTAAATGAAAAAAACTACTGAAACAAAGGACTGTAACTAAATGTACTAAAGCAAATACCTTTACAAAAACAAATACAAATTACTTTATTTTATGTTTATTTCACACAATTACTTGCTTTTTAACCCGCTTTTATTGTGCCCCTCTCATGAAATAACTACCCCCAGCCTGGCCCCCTCCAGTCAAATTGGCCTAGAACCGCCACTGGCCACTCTGTGTTCCTGTTAACTTTGTCGTTGTGCCAGTCTATATTTTTTGTGCCGAAACTATACACCTGGCTTTGCTGCTTCCAGGTGTATTTAAAGGCCCTGCACATCAGAGGTCCCGTTAACCGAATATTTTCCGTCTAAGACAATGACGGAAAAATCAGTCCGTCATTTTGACAGATTAGATAAAAAAACTCAGAACAGCGCCAAATCTTCCCTGCAGCAAGGCCACGGTGTTATGCCGTGTTATGAATGCCCGCCAGAAAGGACATTATATCGGTTCCAAACCGTACTTTGCCGTACAAATCATTGAAATGTCTGCGAGATTTTGCTTTACACTGTGCGCGCTCCCACGAGGTGCATGCATAACACGCAGATAACACGGCATAACAGCGGCGCTAATAGTTCACGAGGGCGCTCTCCACCCCCCCCGTTGACGGGCAACGAAAAAGTCTAAAGCAACCTCTGCTGCACACCCACACAGGTGTTTTCACTCTGTCTGAGTAGACCCCTGCTATAGGAATGCTGGGAAATATGAGTTCACTACATGCCATGTACCAATTAGAATGATAAAGACATTAATTGTCCCGTCCAAACAGATGCATCATCCTAACGATTGTGTCTTCTCGCCCACACAGTGCTGATAGTCTGAGCTCTGATCAGTTACATTCAGTGAGAGCACCTGAGTGGGTGGACGATGACTGTGTAGGAGCTTTGAGGCATGAAATGTTGTAATTATTACATCCTTCAGGATTCAGGATTTAAGATATGTTTAAACCCACAATTGTACCCTTGCAAACTATTGCTTTTTTATCATGAAATATTTAATATCCCTTCATTATACACTGTTGTTTGAACAAAACCATTTCAATAAGGTGCCATGGGGTCATTGTGGTAGGTGTTTGGGAGATGGCAGACTAAACAGTGAATATATTATCAGATGAATTGCTAATGAGTATTATTTCAGTGCTCGTGTTAATGCATTTTTCCTCAGTAGGTGATTTATTTTATTTTCATTTTTTACATTTTAAGATTGAATACCTACTCCCTACTTTTAATTAAGCCTACAATAAGTAGTTATAATAATCATCAAAGAATGGCTTCTCAGCTGCAGTAAATTCAATATTTACAACCACACAACAACTTGTGTAACCAGAGGCCTGTACGACGAAGCCAGATTTTCGCTTAGCGGCTAACTTCAGGGAAAACTCTGGGTTTCCGGTCCTACGAAGCTGGTTCTCTTTTTAGCGGGCTAGATCTCCATGGTAACTTATGCTGAGCGGCTAACCTGCCCCGGAGCAGGTTAGGTTGCAGGCTAAGAGATCAACTCAGTGAAAGCACCGCCTGCTGACCAATCAGAGCTCAGTGTGCGGAGTTTAAAGCGATCAAGTCATATTACAGAAGAAAGGAAATACAGAAAAACTGCCGTTGCAGGAAAGACGGCCGGCAAAAATCACCGACTGTGTGAACGTGAACATTAATAGAATATCACCTCCAATCTTCAGAGCAATCTGACTATTATAACATTAGCGTTAAGAAAGCTTAATTAAATATCTGCCACAACATAAGTAACCGGATCAAAGTAACATTACAATCCGCAGCATATCACATCATAATGTATCATATATTTCCTTATCTGAGTCAGCTGAGCCCTATCTGGCCGTGCAACACTCACAGTGTCACATACTGTATGCAGAAGTATTATTTTAAGCAACACATGAAGTTGACGAAACACTCGAGTCAAATGTAATTAAAGTCAGATCGTGTCTTAGACGGGGCAGTGATATCATAAACCTGTTAATGTACGCATTCAAACACTTTTTCTTTTGCCAGCTGTATTCACCTTGCAGGTGCAGCTATGTGGCTTTTATCCTGGATGAAGTGTTTAAGTCATGGATGTTTAAAGTTTAACTTCTTCATATGTCTAATATTATAGTTGACTTTTCATTCAGGAAGTATGATAATAATAATAATGGGTATTTATAAAGCACTTCATATTTGATTTCAAATCCCGAAGTGCTACAAGTAGTGAGCATGAACAGTATAAATAAACATTACACAACACGGTAGAATTAATAAAAAGCAATACAAAATAAATAAAAGGGTGATAAAAAGGTCTAGGCAAAGGCTCTTTTGAAGAGATGGGTTTTGAGGCCTTTTTTAAAAGCCTCCACGGTCTGTGGTGCTCTCATTTGGTCGGGGAGAGCATTCCACAGACTGGGAGCAGCCGAGCAGAAGGCCCGGTCTCCCATAGTACGGAGCTTAGTCCTGGGGGGTTTGAGGAAGTTGGAGTTGCTGGAGCGGGTGGTCCGCAAGGAGGTATGGGGGGTGAGGAGTTCCTTGAGGTAGGGAGGGGCAGTTCCATGGACACACTGGTGGGTGAGGACGGAGACCTTGAATTCGATTCTCAGTTCCGCGGGTAGCCAGTGTAGTGCTTTAAGGATGGGGGTGATGTGATCATATTTGCGCACCCTCATCAGGATCCTAGCAGCGCTGTTCTGAATGTATTGGAGCTTCTGGATGCTTTTGTTGGGGATCCCGATGAGGAGTGCATTGCAGTAGTCCAGCCTGGAGGAGACAGCTTTTCGGCGTCAGACAGAGTGAGTGTGGGGCGGAGTTTGGCGATGTTCCTGAGGTGATAAAAGGAGTTCTTGCACAGCTGTTTAATGTGGGCCTCAAAGGTCAGATGGGCATCCATTTTAACACCCAGGTTGGTGACTATTGAGGAGAGGGTAATGTCCTGGCCGGAGAAGGTGATGGTGGTGATGGTGGATGACCGAACCTGGTGTGGGGTGCCAACTATAATGGCTTCGGTCTTGGAGCTGTTGAGTTTCAGGAAGTTTTGCTTAATCCACGCCTGTAAGTATGACGCGCTGCGCTGTCAGTATGCTTGTCCATGTTTGTGATTGGTCGAATGCTCCAAATACCACCCCTTTCATGTGAACGCGCACCTAACTAGATAGGACACGGCTGGCTTGAGCGATCCACTTGATAATCCGCGTCGTAGTACAGTTTAGCGAGAGCGCGTATGTTTTGGATTAGGCCAACCGGCTTACTCAAACATATCCAGGTTAGGTTGAGCCAGCTTCGTAGTACAGGCCTCTGATCAATCAATAATATTTATGTTATGTTTAGTAATGTCTTAACTGTAGTTACATTTGGAGAAAAGGATACCATAAAATACAACATTTGCATTATTTTCTTACAGTAACACTTGTGCCACAGATACTAATCCAATATGTGGTAGCTGCAGGCATGTGTTTATTGTGGGGATAGGATATAATGTATTGTTGTTTTGTTGAACAATATAATTAGACATTTGTACAGAAAGCACATCCTTAAAATGGCTTGATTAAAGAAAACACATTGTTCTGTGTCCTAAGGACCAGCTTTGAGAACCTCAGCTGTAGGCTATGTTAAATAGAATATTAGCCTCAGGAACATAAAGTAATCCACTTGAAATAATAATATTTCTTCAGGCGGCTATCCACTTTTTCTGATCACCTGCTGTGTTGTCAAATAGCCCCAGCTTGCATTTACTCTTTCTTTAATAAAACTATATTGTAAATATTGTTTTCAAGGCTGAGGAGCATTTCCCCACTTCTGTCTCATTTGACAAAGTGTATTTTAATCACCTTTATGAAATGTGTCTCCAGCACGCATATGAAAACATCAGTAGATAATCTGAGCACTTCTCTTCTGTATAATATATGTTCTTTCAAAGGCCAGTGAAATATATCCAGCAGGATAGAATTGAATTCATAACCCTTACCGTTGAAATCTTAAGTCTGCTTGAGCCCTTTGCTACATATAACAATACATACATGTATATGCAATTATATAGCACTATGATTGACTACAGTTTTTCCAGTGTTACTCATTCTCACTAAGTACATTTTTATTGAGAAAATAGCCTCCGGTCTGATATATCATTTACATCTGACTCTGAACTACAATCTGTTTAAATCTAAATAGGTTTTCTGATTTGTTACATCAATTTGTAGGCCTTGTATTTACATCAGGAAATTGTTTATTGTTTGTTGTTACTTGCATTCTGTCTGCATCACTATAGAAAATTGGATAAATAGTTTGGCGGGTTAGACAACATCCGATGCCAGCTTCTATTTTTCAGTCTCAAATATCTGCTTTACAGATTACATTTACACCTTCCTGAGATTCAATCATGTGCTGTTACTTGCACATGCTGAGTGTACTATGTTATTTTACCTGCTTCCTTCCAAAACAGATTGAATGCCAGACTTTAAAGGTGATCAGATTTGGTCAATTACATATTTCATGTTTCTGCTTTTTAGCTTATCATCCTGTTAACATATCAGACTAGTATGAACAGTAATATAGTCTGTTTAAATTAGCCAAATAAAACTACACAGTACATCAGTAATCATTTCTACTGAGACTGTTCAAAATTACTTTAAACTTTTTCCTACACTGAGGTTTTTGAAAATGTGTCAGTGTATGAGTTGGGCATACAGTATATAAACTTTCTTTGCTTTCACCTTCCTCATGTCATCAGTTTTTTCACTGGACAACCATTTTATTGCCAGATATAATTTCCATTTGTTCCCCTCCCACCTGTCTATGTTTCTACACTGCAGTGTGTGTTTACCAAAAACTAAAAATGATTCAGACTAAATGCAGGTAATGACTATGCACCATGTCAAAATATTACAGTGTAATTTGATCATTGCCATTGTCTTGACAACATAATAAAAACACATAGTTGAGTGCTTGTTATAAATGAGGTCCCTGATATGCAGGTGAGCTCATTATGTACAGGTCTGTGTCCAGACCAGTGCTCGCTCACCTCAACTGACACACCAAGGTAACTGATGCATTATTCAGCACAACATTGAAAAAAATAAGTTGATGAATGAGTTTTTGTTTTGTTTCTTTTTAAGTTAAGGTTGGGACCCTGCATCACAGGAAATGATTATCCCTCTGTCAAAGATCAGCCTGGAGAAACAGTAACAACTGACCCATCTTCTGCTTTGTGTTTAGCAACTGCTGAGGATGAGAGACGAGCTGATGGAGCGAGAGGTAGAGCTACAGAAGAGTATCGAAGAAAAACAACAACTCAAGAACCAAATCCATGACCTCAAGTCAGGACTGCACAACCTGCAGCCTACACACACATCACAGGTCAGAGGAAAACACACACACACACACACACACACACACACACACACACACACACACACACACACACACACACACACACACACACACACACACACACACACACATACACACACACACACACACACATGCTAAGTCAAAGTGTTCATGTTTTTGTCTAAATGGTAATAATCAATCTTTGTTTAACAAGCTTAATTTCTGGTCTATTTAGAAAGAACAACGACATAATTGGTCTCGGTGCATGACAAATATTGCATATTAAGGAAGTTATTCAACACACCATTGGCTTCATTTAAGTGAATATTTCGGTGCATTTAAGTGGTGTCTGATGATGAATCAATCGGAACATAAGATACAAGATGGACATTTTCCCTAAAGGATCTGATAACAAGTGATCAAGACCTTTGAACATATGACAACATCAAAATCATGTCAAAGCTTGCATATGGAGATAGTCCTTAAGATTTCAGTCAGGGTTAACTTTTTGTTTTATGAAAGTAATCAGTCGATTTTTCCTGTCCTGCCATGCCCTTCATCTTGATTTGTAGACTCTGCACTATCTGCTGCTTCACGATAAAAGCAACACGATGTTTCGCCAGTTGAATGCTTTTAATGTGAACTTGAGAGCAGGAGAAGAAAATGGTTTGCATTAGCAGGAACTCAATACAGCTCTTCCAGTCTGTAGAAAAGAAAAGAAACAGTAAACGGAGATGCTGGTATCGAGCATTTACAAGAAATGAAATAATGCGGTTATAGTAGGCTTTATCCGGTTAGCTGATTTCTTAAATGTCATGTAAACGAATAACCTAATGGTTAGCATAACTTGAAAAGGGATCAGCGAAACTTCATTAGTTTAACTTAATGTTTCCGAGACATCGCTGTATCTCTGCTATGTATACATTTAACCAAATGTTGTATTCGCCTTTTACAAGAGTGCATATAGATAGCAAAATACTCCAGATGGGTTGAACGGCAGCTGGATGAAAGGAGAGATCCCTTACAGAGCATTGATTTGTTTTCCATTTGAAAGAAAATCATATATCTGGCTCAAAATGAAAGAAAATAAACTAGCCTGCACCAGTCAAAAAAAAATGTCTTCCACAGTTATGTAAGAAAGCCACCTATTAAACTAACGTCAGGTGACAAATATTATTCCTAACCTAATGACTTTATGGTAACCTGGTTACTTGGAGACCTGTAAACACACTTAAAGGGTTGAATTAGATACACCTATTGACATTAAATCACAAACAGTAACACTAGATTACATGCTGCATCATTCCCTATTAATCACATGTGTGTAAATGCAATTTAAATCTTGTTTGAGAAGGACATAACACGACACTAACAATAGAAACTGCTATATAGAGACAGTGTTAATGCATTCACTATTACTAAATATGTCCAATGTTCAACATGATAGCAATTTGAAAATGAAATGCTAAAAGTATTGAATCTAAGAATTCTTAATATTTCTAAATTAAAACTTTTGCTGGTTTTGAAATGTCTTTCCCAGCTTCAGACTCAAATCCTGATACAGCCTAAAAGTGTTACCTGTGTGGAAGAAGGTGGTTTAGGGCGCATGAAATCCTTGAATGAACTTTTACACCTAAGGGAGATTTATTTTACAGTATGTAATTCTGAAGCGGAAAATCTTTGCACATCTTGGGAAATTACCCTGTGAAGGATCATTGCCGTTCCTGTAATGTTGATGTTGCATCATAAAATAGCAAAGGATGGAGGAAAGGCAAACCAGAAGGTAACTGACTAACTGTTTCTACCACTTTGTAGATGCTTATATAGGGGATATAATCAAGGTGCCCTTGACTGAGGGACTTACTTGATGAACAATGCTAATACGGCTGCTAATGAGACAAATTGAAATGCTTGTTGAAGCCGTTTCTGGCTGTGTAAGGACTGTCCTTGAATTTTAGGGCAGACAAAAGCTGTGTAGAGACCAAACTCTTAACCCTACAGTAAAGGAATTACTGAAATTCACTGCTTTTCTACTCTGTAAGAGCCAGGCACATTTTTTAAATCACTCCAAAGAAGTCATTTATATTGCAGGACATACAACAAAGTCCTATTCGGGGGGGAAGTGTGCTCCTCTTGTGTCTTCATCTCTTGCTGGCCTGTTTTGTCTCGGCACAGTAAGAAGGAAGAGGGCAGACATGAGATTGAGTTTCAAGTTCAATCAGCTATGTAATTGGATAATTATAATACTAAAATGGCACTGTCAAGTGGTGCTGGATGACTCTGGTGGCTCGCTGTCGGCTCTAAGGTCATCTTTTTGATTCACAGAGCTGCTCAAGTTAGTATGCTGTGAGCTGATGGAAAGTTGCTCATCAGATATTCACAACTATTTACAAACTGCCACTGCATCTGCCACTTCTGGATGTATCTCCTAGTTGTGTTCAGAACTGATGCGGCTCCTCTGGAGGAGCAGTATTTTTGACTAGGAAGGATTAAAGAGATGGGTTTTTGAAGCTTTATTACTTTAGCTTGTTGTGGCTGACACTGGAAGGTGAGTCTTATCATAGTTTAAAGGCTGCCTACCACCCTCTGCTGTATTGCTCTTTTTCAGGATCCAAGTAATGTTTCCGTAGCGCTTTATTTTATGTCTCCTAATTAATATGAAGAATAAATTGATGTTTACTTATTTATTATTGTTAGTGTTGTATTTTCAATTGAATTTATTTAATTCACAAACAGTTAAAAAACAAGTATAATTGAAAGACAAAAAGGAGATGTGTGAAATGGGACACCCCCACAAAACTATCTGAAGATTAAGACACTAAAAATAAATGAATTTTAAATATATCTTAATAACTTATCTAGAGTTTATGTATATTAACTGAAATCCCCCTAACATTTACCAAAAACCCTAAAACTGAACTAATACCTTAACTACTAAGTGGTTCCAATACATGTATTCTCTTGGTCAAAGTTGTTATAGGTTAGCTATAAAAACACATATTAGACAAAGGGAAAACATTGGTTCAAATTGAATGCAATTCAGAGTAGAGTCAACTGTTTAAAAGTCCTCTTTTTCACAATAATTAGGACCATAATTATATAGTGTGACTGTCCTCTGGCTTGTTTATTTGTTTGTGTTAGTTCTGTTCCTGTTATTCATTTTGTGAGAACCTTATGCTATTCATTCAAATCAATGCATTATTAAATTGCCCTCACACGGCATCTCCCACTTTTATCATGGCTTTAGAGCCAGGTTGTAACAATAATAACTGGATGAACCGATAACATGAAGAGTTATTTACAAGGCTGTGTATGTCAGTTACCATGTAGATTAGACCACTTCTGTGTAATGGACTGCAGTTTACAAGAAAAGGTGGTTTTCTCCAGGGATAATACATGTTTTTCTTTTAGATTCCCTAGTTGTCCCCTTTTATCTCTGCATATAGGTATTGCTGTATAGTAGCAGACATGTTCTGGTGAAAATACCACAGTCCTCTATTTGGACTCAAGCTGATTTAACATTGTTTCAAACAGTTCTGCAGGCTTCATTATTCTTTATATGGTGTATTTCTTCCCCTCTACCCTGACCTGACACAACACGCCCGGTGCCAAAAGTTCAAAAGTTATCTTTCAGTTCACCAGACAGAACATAAGCAAGGATGCCAGGTTGTACAAGTTGCATGTAGCTGGGATCAAGGTAAGGGCACTATCTTTGATTGAGCTATCAATAATTGAATATAACTTTTTGAATTTTTAAATAATGCATCTTCATCCACTATGATTTTATCTATTTATTTATTTCCAGTCTTAGGTATTCAAGAGATAGAGGTGTGTGTATGGGAGATGTGAAAGTGTCTTAGTTGGTTGCAGGGACGGATCTAGACAAATATGCATGGGGTGGCAAGAGGGTGGCAGGAGAATTTCAGGGGTGGCATCCCCTGGCAGAAGTATATGCTGATTTAATTGCAGTCATATCAATCAATGTTAACTTGGAAAGCCACAATATTGATATTTTAACTCAATATCATTAGGTGACATTATTGTGGCACATCAGTAAAGCCTTACATATAAATATAAGGTGGCACACATCATTTAATGAATTTTAACTGAATGAGTTGGTTTCACTCTTAGACCAGCAGGGGTACCAAATCTATGCAGACTGCTGCAATAAGTACGTTAATTAACTGTCTCATCGATGTGTGTCTGTATGAATATGATAATATTAACAATCATAATTATCATTCCCATCAGCTGTCAATCCCTTTTATGATTCACATATTCAGTGTTATTATTAAATAAACTATATTTTTTGGAGGAGTTAATGATGAATGTTCCTCAAGATGCTTGATCACCCTCCTTCAAATTTGAAAGACCAGTAATTACCATCATAAATCAAAATAATCAAAAGAACAGTTCAGCGCCCCACAACTTCATTGCAAAAACTTACAACCTTGACTTTACATCAGAAAGAACAAACATTAAAGAAGTGACTAACTGCATCAATTAGGGTTAAAAAAACGTGTATTCAGCTAAAACATATACATTACATCGCTGCAGTTATTATCCAGTGGAAGGTCCTTACCTACTGGCCTAGTTAAATCAAAGTGGTTACTTTTTTTTGGCTGGGCAGTGTAGTTTTACACATCGTCTTATTTGACTTTCTCAGGACTTGAAACAGTCTTTTGGGGGCAGACCCCCTCAAAGAAGAAAGATATTATACACACGTAAGGTCATCATCTTAACAGTTTATTATTCTCATCGACTCATCCGTGAGCAGAGCATCAAGTTGGCATGCCTATAACAGCTGAATGTGGCGATTACCATCTTGTTCAGCAAAACGCCTCACAAACTTATTATGATTTAAAGCTATGGTGCGTTTTGATTCAATGCTGAGTACAGCCAAACTTGACAGGCTCTTCTCTGTCATTGTAGACAGCAAACAGTCGCGGCGCCAGAGTATTTTTGTTGGGTAATCTATGGTAGGGCTAACCCATACAGTGGTGGGGCTCAAGTCAGTATTTGCAATGTAATTACATACACGCTCCCCTTGACAGTGAAACGCCACGCGTGAGGTTTAGATTATTTCCCTGTCTCAATCCAAATTGAACTGTATGAAATAAAAAGGCACATTTGTCTTGTAGTAAATAAAAAGGGCGACCTGGAGCCAATCCTGCAATTTCCCCACAGGTGAAAGAGTTGACATGCTGAAAACCCAACCCCTGCAGGGGGGTCTGGGGGGATTCTCCCCCAGGACATTTTTTGAAATACTAACATAAAATACACATTCTGGTACTCTCTTGAGAAGAGAAATAAATAAATCTATTACTACACAACATATTTAAAAAAAATGAATGGTATTTAATTTTGTGTTACTTTGTTCTGAAAGCTGAACCTGCTGCTCCTCACAGAGGGAAGAGGCTGTGTGAATTACTTTACATTGTGGATAGCCCCCATTGTTCTGTGTGTCAAAATGGAAGACAGCCCACACACCTATCAATCATCAAACCGTGGGGTCTTATTTCATTACGTGTTGATTTCTATCAACACGTAATGTTGTATCGATGTATATAGAGATGTACTACAGCAAAAGTATTCTCCGTCGGGACTTCCTGCAACAACACCACGCCGTTATCTTGATTCTGATTGGCCAGAAGACATTATCAAAGATGTTCTATTAAGAAGACGATCACTCCGTGACAAAAGTTTTCAAAACCGTTTCTAGTCTTCGGTATTTCCAGACAAGTGGCTACTGAAATCAATCTTACTAACTGCTGTCTGTGCAATTTACTCCGCGAGTTGGCAGACTTTATTTAGCTTACTTTAACATCATTGTTCATGGTGGGGCTAAGCCATTTCTTGGTATGGCTGTAGCCTACCCCAGCCATACCCTGACCGCAAATACCTCATTCCTTCTGTCTACTTGGATCCGAAATGCTTCTCGTTTTGCGCTGTCCTCCCGTTCAAATGAAATCGCCGCCAATCATATTTCCAAGCTCGCGCCGGGGGGGGAGGGGTTACAAGGCTCGCGTCTTGTGCTGCATTCACTTGCACTCGGACATTAGAGATTTTCTCTCATAAATGTCCGATGAGCCACAACTTTTCTTTCAAAACAAGGCTGCCAACTGGGGTGGCAGCTGGCGTGGCAAGGCATTTTTCTGAGGTGGCAGCTGCCACCCCGTGCCACCCCGTAGAACCGCCACTGGTTGGTTGGGAAAAGCAGTAGAATTTCAACTTTCCAAGAACCCGTTGTCAGTGAGAGACTGTCGAATAAAAACATGTGCAGCGCTGGTCAGCAGAGACAAGAGCAAGATGTTGTTCTTCTGCTGGAGATTGTCAAGTCTCTGCTTCATCACACTCCCCTACATCTCGTTTCCCAGCATGTAAAAGAGAACCTGGACTACACATGCACACCACTCACTCCCACCATGCAACACTGCGTCAGCCTCCAACACTACCAAAACACAAGGATAAGCCCAGTGACTGTAGCCACAACACACACTCCTACTTTCCCTTTAAATGTGGCACTAAGAAGGTTAAAGTATTTGCATTCTCTTGATCCGTCTCAGTTTTAGGAAAGGTCAGGATTTGCCTAACAAGGATGATGACTTTGAAGTGTAAATGTGGAGTCTCAAGCCACTAACGAGTAGCAAGCTTGAAGTTAGTACTCATAATTAAAGCCTAAATAATGAAATAGCAGGGCCGATTAGGGACAATACAAAAAAATGTAAGATGTCTGCTGTCATTTCAAAACAGTACTGATATTGTTTAGGATGTCAGTCAGAGAGAACCAAAGAGGTATACTTACATATCTTAAAATGATAATGTATTTATTTAGAATGTGAAAACAATGTGGAAGCTTTTAGTTATCACTTTACAGAGAATTATGACTTGGATCTGATCATCCTCTCAGATTTACGGAGCTTCATAGTGAGTTTCAGCTCATTGTTTAGTTGCTCAACCCAGCACTTTACTTTACTGTTTTGGTTCACTCTTGTGCGGTTTTTGGCTGCGACAGACAGCTATTTTTTTGGGAGAAAAAGCTCTTAAAACCCACTCTACACTACCCGCTCGGCACCAAACACTAGACGGGCACATTAGAGATCAGCTGGAAAACATAGTGGAGCATTGAGCTTGAAAAATCACCCTATTTACCTCAGGAGTTAGTACAGACAAAATACATAGCTAAGTGAAGATTGAATGCATGCCATTCATCAGGTAGACAGAATGAATGATTATGTTTCTCCAGAACTGCTGCATTGTGTAAATAACCAAACTTTGCTAATAGGGGACAATATGTCAATGATGTCTTCACAACGTTTTTTTCTACACTCAAGTGACCAAAAAAGTTGGTTATGCAGCCAAAATGAATCACATCAAATAAATACTTACCAAAATGTTCTCGCTATTAAAAAAGTAACTCTTACTACATAAACTCAACTTCTCTGATTCTCGTTGTTGTTATAAACATTACATCTATGTCTTGACCTTTCTCATCATCTAATGTAGGAACATTTCTGCATATCATTCACATCAGTCACTGTAGGAAAATGAAATTGGTTGAAGCAGCATAAGTATAAGAATGCAATATAGAACAATACAAAAGGATTGGCAAGGATTTAATAAAGGAGGCCAGTTTTTATTTAGATTTGTAGATTTATTCACTGAAAACTCTTGCTTATATTATTCTATCTGGTGGAGGATAATATAATTAAAACATTTCCCTCTTGGCATACAGTAGGTGGATAATTCATAAACATATATACACTAAGACACTAAGACATTGTGTAAGGCCTCCGCTGCTCTCACACACTGCGACAGTTCAGCTGTGTTTGCATTGGAAGGTAGATTACATATTCATTCATTGTGTGCATTCACGCTGGATCGTAGCTGTCAGAGCTGCATTATTTCCTAATAACTGGGTATCTGCCTAATAATGCAGTTACCATATCTGTCCCATAGTCTCCTAAATCCACTCTCAATATGTCATCTCTCATCACACACCTGTCAGCACTGCTTTCATGTTTTCAACACCTTCCGCCATGAAAGAGACTTTAATCCTTTTAAACAGTATGTCATCATGTCATCTTAAACAACGTGTCTCTTTTCATATGTATTTATAAGGTACATTGTTTCTGTGCTGCAGATGCAACTTTGATTCTACAAATCAGCTAGTTTCAAAGCAGCACTAAACCTCAAAGGGTCCAATTATTTTAGGGTTCTATTCTTGCAGGTGTACATACACTAATTTTGACTGTTTGACGCTGCTTCAGTCCTTCTGAAACAAGACTGTGTGTGTGTGTTAGAGTGTCAGAGACGGATGGATAGTGACTTTTTGGTGTGTCTGATTGCATTAGTGGGTGACTTGTTTCTCGTTGACGTTTCCTCTTATTTTTCTAATTGACTAGCCGGAGACGTTGAACCAAGATCACAGATGGAGCGAACAGAGTGCTAATCAAGTCAGTGTAAGTGCAAAATCCTTGAGCTTTCACTACTTTACTCAAAATATTTGTCATTCCCTTTTATTTTTACATATTTCTCCTCCTCTCCTCCCCTCCATCCACTGACGCGGCACCATTACAGGAACATCTTCATAGGTCACTTGTCACTGACTGAATGACCCGAACAAAACGGGGTTAGAAAATCCAGCCTACAGTGAACATATAGAGTAAATATGCACACATAAATACATAATTGCACTTTCAAATCAGATCAAAACCTGAAGACAAGGCCAATGCATCCTGATTTCACTCTGCTATCAGACATTTCACTCAATTAAGATGCAAATAAATGTCTTTTACAGCCACACACAAACATGCAAATGTATTTCCATCTTTACGTCTGTGTATCTCAGACTCACAGTGAACACCAGCTTGATCATTAGCAGCATCGTTAACACTTCCTCTCCTTCTGTTTTGTTTTGCCCTTTGGTTTAACTTCATCCGCTGGCATCATTCTTTCACTTCTTCATATTGTTCTCATTGTGATGTTTTTCTTTTTATGTGGATTAGTTAGTGTTTAGTTTCTATTTTTGCATTTGCTTGTAGTGCAAAACGTTCCCCATGCTTGTTAAACACTCTAAAATAAGTAAGACTGTTACTACCCAGAGCCCTGGTATCAGTGTTTAAGGAAGGTTTTAAGATGAAGAGTGTTTTGTGATCTCTGTCTCTCCTCAGGATGTAACGGCATCATCAGTGGTGTCGTGCAGTCAGGACAAGGAAGCTCTTCCAGAGAAGAATCCACTGAGTCCTGTAAACTCTGAGAGGGACGCACTTCTCATCGGTATGCTGCCTTACTGTATCTCCATCTCATTCCTACATTAACAAATCAGCAATATGCTTTTTACTCTGGTGGAAATGTGTCTCTTTGACCACATTTTCACAATAAAGCCTAACAATGAAGTACAAAATTACAAGAAAGGTGCAGAACAATGCGTAGTGACCTAAATTACTCTCAGGTGGCCTATAGGAGTAAGGTTATTAACATCCCAACAGTTTGTATCTTGTATTCACTCTTTGCAGGTGCCTTAGTGTGCCTTTGCCAAACAACATATTTGTTGTTATGTTGTGTTTGGCTCCAAGTGCAAGCAGCGCTTTTAGCCGTGTTAGCAGTTCGTCTCTAGGGACTGCAGTGTCAGTCACTCAGTCAAACATCTCAATAAATATCACATGGATTACCAAGGAGTGTGAAATAGATATTCATGGAGCCCAGAGTGATAATGGAAATTCACTTTGGTGAGTTTTTGTCAGGTCATACATTTTACTTATTCTAACTCTTGTTTTTTAACTAAATACCTACATAACTCCCATAAGTCCCAGCTGTTCATTAATTAGAAAATGTTACAATTCTAACAAGATAAACTATTCTGCTAATCATTAGCATGTTAGCAAACTGATGTTATGTCTTATCATACTCATTATGCTTTAATGTCCTGTACAGTGATGGTGCTCTGATATTCTTAACTGTTTTACATGTTGTTATTTTTAGGGTTGAGATTTGAGCTTCACACAATCTTCATCAGGCCTTTGTTCCACTAAAACACTAACGGGAAGTTCACGAAATGACACCTTTCAATATAAAGAAATAAATACCACAATGCTCTCAACAGATATGTTACATTACATTACATTGCATTTAGCTGACGCTTTTATCCAAAGCGACTTACAATAAGTGCGTTCGACCAACAAAATACAAACTTGAAGAAAACAGAATCATATAAGTACATCAGGTTTCATAGAGCAAAAACATTTCAAGTGCTACTCAACTGGCTTTAGATAAGCCAGCCCTTTATTAATATATAAGTGCTTTGTTAATAGTTCTATCGCTCGAAGTGGAGTCGAAAGAGATGAGTTTTCAGTCTGCGCCGGAAGGTGTGTAAGCTATCTGCTGTCCTGATGTCAATGGGGAGCTCATTCCACCATCTTGGAGCCAGGATAGCAAACCCACGTGTTTTCGCCGATGGGAACTTGGGTCCCCTTCGCAGCGAGGGTGCAGCGAGCCGTTTGGTTGATGCAGAGCGGAGTGCACGTGCTGGGGTGTACGGTTTAACCATGTCCTGGATGTAGGAAGGGCCAGATCCATTCGCAGCATGGTAAGCAAGTACCAGTGTCTTGAAGTGGATTCTAGCAGTTACCGGAAGCCAGTGAAGGGAGCGGAGGAGCGGCGTGGTGTGGGAGAATTTAGGAAGGTTGAAGACCAGACGAGCCGCTGCATTCTGGATGAGCTGCAGAGGTCGGATGGCACATGCAGGTAGACCAGCCAGGAGGGAGTTGCAGTAGTCTAGGCGTGAGATGACGAGAGCCTGGACCAGAACCTGCGTCGCTTTCTGGGTCAGCTGGGGACGTATCTTCCTGATACATCATTAGTTTCACAAAGGGAGTACTTACTACACAGCTGATGAATTGGATTTGATTTGAATGTATTGCATTGTACTTATTGTCCCCCCTTTTGTGTAAAATAACCACAACGGGCACTACCAATGCCACCTCTGCAGCAGTTTGTTTCTCCGATCTGCTTCAGTCACTTCGACAAATTAGAGCATGAGAGAAGGAAGATATGAAGAGAGAAAGAGCCCATTTTAATCATTAGATTACATAACACAATGTGACTTCATGATGATGGGAAATATGGCAAACATCTATCTCCCTTGTGTGTAATGAACTACATTATTTATAGAAGTAAACAAAGCCTTGTCCTATTTTGGTGCTTGTTTTTCCGGCACGCTGCATTTTCACATGTTAATTGTCAGAGACATCCGTTGGCTCAAAGCATGAAAGATAAAACTTGCTCCTTTTTGTTTGGGAGAAAAAAGGAAATGCAAATTGTGCTTTACCAAATGATATACCCTTCTGCATTGGTCCATCTGGGTCCAGTTTTAGCGTCTTCCTCCAGAAACACTTGCATGTTCTGTCTCATCGCAGGTAGTTAGGTAGTCAATGGTGCTTGTCCTCTGTTCATGCCCACTCTTGATGTTTACTGAGGCGGAGGCGGGCTACAGTTAAAGTTCCCGACACCTTCTCATGTCAGAATCACTCCTCTTGACGTCTTGTTTGATGCTGAGTTGAAGTGAGCATCGCAGGGGGAAAAAGGGACACTCGGCTCCAGGAGGAAAACGTTTCATCAGCGAACAAAGGGTTGAATATCTTTGCCTTTTCTTTTCCTGCACACAGGGAATGTAGATGAACACAGTTGTGTTATCTTTGAACTGTTTTCTTCTGGAAAACTGAGAGGCAAAAATACACAAGATGAAAGCGTTTTTTGTTTGTATTGTTCAGCTGGAAAGGCTTTTTCAGGACAAGATGTTCAAAAAGAATGAAACTCTTATTGTGCTTCTGAAAACACCATTACAATCGTCTGTTATATCCTGTTAATGTATTTCTCTTGTTCTTCCTATTGCTAGATGTGGCCCTTGTTTGTACACAGTTACAGGGATGTTTTTAGAAATACTGAAGTCAAGAGTCAAAATGATTCCAGTTTAACCCCAACCTAAGAATTGTTGGTACGACCAAAAACCAAAATGTAATATTCAAAGTATTAAAAGACTATTCAATAACATATAGTCTAGATGTACCTTTAAATCCCTTTTACTCTACAAGGTAGTAGGACATTTCCCTTGAATTGTAATTCATGTAAAATGCCTGAAAAAATGTATCATCAGATGAAAAATACACCTTTAAAATCTTAGAAAAATAATTGAGGACTTCACGAAGTGGGAAAACAATTCAAAAGCAGGACATGGGAAACTAAATGCTTCAGCTAAAAGCTACATTACATTTATATGACTTTATACAATGTTCTAGACAATTTTTGCAGTAGTTGTCGTTAACTACATGTGATGGGATTTGTGCTGTCACAGTTCAAACAAACTACAGTATATGCTTTTTACTAAAGTAGGTCATCAATATGCAACATTGCTAACCTGTCATCACCATCTTTTAACATTCATTAGATTTTGTTCCAAGCAATCATGACCTATCCCATATGTTGGCATGGGGGCGTGTGGCGTGGTAGGTTGTCCGTAGGTGTTCAGATCAGGGGGTCACAGGTTCAAACCCCACTGCAGTCAGCATGTCGTTGTGTCCCTGGGCAAGACACTTCACCCCAAATTGCTCCTGTGGGGATTGCCCACAGTATTGAGTATGTAAGTCACTTTGGATAAAAGCGTCTAACAAGTAACATGTAATGTAATGTTGCTCTATAGTCTATATAGTCAGATCTTGCATGTTTTGCCGGTAAACACGAAGACATACATTAAGGTAAGATCATATCCAGAACCCCCACCCTAATCTCAGCTGTCGTTTTGGTGTCTTCTGTTAATCTCGTGATGCTCAAACGACAAGTCAAGGTGCAGGATTTCTCTCCCCTGGTCATCATCAGAGAGTCGAGAGCAGATGATTTGTTCAGTTTGTGGAGAGCTTCAGAATCAGACAGCTTTGATGAAAGATAACGGCATCAAAGCTGCCATTGAACACTCTAATCTGGAGCCGTGATATACAAGAGGCTCTCAACAGTGTTGTGAGTCTGACAAAAGTGACTCGATCATCCCCGCTTGTAATTCAGTCAGCCAAAATGAGGAAGAATAATACAAACTGATTTCTTGATTATTCTGCAGTGGTTTGAAGCCATGTTTAACAGGCGACAGAAACTGAAAGGCTGGAGCTTTGTGACAAGGTATGTGTTTGCATTTTGACAGTTTAATTAACATGTGTGCCTTCCCTATTTGTTTAACCTCAGGGATCATTTCAACCTTCCTGAACGTCCACCCGTTTGGAGCCAGTATGGAGTACATCTGTTCCTACCTGCAGCGCTTGGACACCAAGGTAACACACACACGGTCACACCCTAGACATAGTGACACAGATTAAATTCCCCTGCAGGGCTGACATATGGCCTGCTGTATGCTAGGGCCCTGCTGTGCCATTTTAGTCTCCTGGCATGCAAACAAGCCCAGAGTCAAGGAAAAGACATCAATTACTCTGAGGTTTTTTTCAGCCTTCATTTATCTCGGCAGAGCTTGGTGAACAGGAACATCAATTTAAAGCTTCACTGCTTCACACTCGTAGACCTGTACTTACCAGGGCTGTACAGTGTTTAAACAAATAGGCTGAATATCGAAGGTGTCTATAGGTTTTAGAAATAGTTCATCTTCACATAATCAATTACTTTTTATCATTTTAACCAGATAAGCTTTGCAGTGTGGAATAATGCTTCAATAATGTTCCACGGGTGTACCTATCTGAAATCCACAGGAAAATGATGGGAATGGCTTAAAAGTCCATGGCTTTTTTTGCATGACACAAATAAATTCAAGAATTAAAATAAATGGTCAAAAATCTTTCCAAAATACCACATTTAAGAAACAAAGACCTTGAGAACACCATAGAAAAAGCCATGCTGTGATTTTAACTTCTGGATGTTGAGCGCTTGTGTTCTGCTCAAAAAGCCCTTATTGTCAATATTCTTATAAAATCTACTGAATGCTCGTGTTGTTAGGTTTTTCATTTTAAAGTTTTGATGAGGCTATGAATAACCTAAATATTCCAACAGGTCATTTTATTCAGTGGACAAGATCCATACAATGATCTCACTATAAGGAAATGGCTACTATGGGGATTAGCATAATCACACATGAATTTGATAAGGCTCATTGCATCCACAAGAGTCTTCCCTCTTATTTCCACTTTCGAGTCCAAAGATCATGCAGAAATGTTAAGATACAACATTTTTTAAATAGGCGAAAATAATACATTTCTACTGCATGCAAAACACTGCATGCTTTTGTCCCAAAGTGCATGCAAGCATAAAAACCCATTTTCATTCTGATATTTTGAGGTCAAGGGACCACTGTGAATGTACCGCACCAGTTCTTCCCTTGCTGAATGTAGCCTTACTTTGCAGCATTATTGCCAGCTAGCATGATATTATTGGTAGCAATAGATTCTCACTTTAATATGAAAATATTGTATTCACTCCAATTTAAAAGTGAGCTTTCTTTAAAACAGTGAGGTCTGCCCGGGGCTCCCATCGATCCTGTGGGTCTCAGAGGGTTAATAGCAGCAGCCTCAATATACAGTGAAGCGATATTTTCTTTGCTCTGTTCGAGCCTCATTGCTTCTGTCCTGTTGCCGTTATCACTTTATAATTGTATCACACATCCCCAGTTGCACGACTTATTTATGAATATATTCATGTTCTGCGTCCGCCTGCTGCTGCCTGCCTCTGCCAGTTTAGGCTGTTAGTCAGCCTGATTTCTGGGAACAAGGCGGCGTGTTTGAGCTGATTCCTGGAAAATAACTCAGCCTTGTTCTCGTCATCCCTATAAGACCGTTCTTAATTACTAAATGTCCTATCATTAACTAATAATGGTCAACGGTTTCTAACAATGAACTCATAAAACAAAGTCATATTAATGACAGTCAATGTCATTCTGTTAGATATGTTTTAGGGTGTCCTGCCCTCCTAAATTATTTACAAACAAATTGATAACAAATGGGATTAAACTGGTTTTACTCACCATCAGTCTGTTTTAGGGTGTTGTCGGACTAGAAGTCATTATATTATATGTTTTCTATTGTATAACATTTTTTAAATGTAGACTCGGATTGTCAGAAAAACTGTTAAGAAATGCCCATCAATATTATATTGCGTATTTCTGATAAATGGATTACTTGATTGCTGGTAAAAAATATTATGTTATAGACAGTGATGTCACAGTGTACCACAGATTGTGTTGGTACACTGTGACATCACTGTGTGTGGTTAAAGACGCAACACATGTGAACATTCAACCAGCAAGGAGAATCAAAAGCTAATTTCAGCATGCTACAGTTGACTTTTTAGTCACTTAGTTATCAACCATGTTTTGACTTCATTTCAGCACTTAAAGGTGGGGTAGGTAATTCACTTCAGAAACACTTTTTGTTATATTCCATGGAATGCTCTTAACATCCCGATAGCAATGAATATATTAAACGCTTTGACAATAGATACATAAACAAAATTCATCTGTGGAAGCCATTGGTCATGTGCATGTGTATGTGTGTTGGAGGAGGGGCTCTGTAAGGAAATCTGAAGGAAGGGGCAGACTTTTTCCAGTTGTGTACTTTCAAATTCTAGCGCACTCGATCTGGTTTCTCCATTCCTACCCTACCTTTAAATGAATATTAAAATGTGGGTGATCGTTACTTGAGTTATAGATCTTTAATATATATATTCTAGAAACATTGAAAGTAATTCTTAATGCACACCATATACACCGGTAGTGGCTCAGTCAGTAGGGGATTGGACTGTGAGCCGTAGGGTCGCAGGTTCAAGTCCCCGACCAGACCTAAAAATGGATTGTGGACTGCTACTTGGAGAGGTCCCAATTCACCTCCTGCCCTGCCGTGGTGCCCTTGAGGAAGGCACCGGACAACCCCCTTCCCCCCTCACTCCCATTGCTCCCGGGGCGCTGTACAATAGCTGCTCCTAGTACTAGACTCCTGGTACTAGGATGGGTTAAATGCAGAGAACACATTTCACTCTGTGTGCTCTGCATGTGTGACCAAAGAGGGTTTCATCCCTCCCAATATTATTATTAAATGTTAAATTATAGTTCAACATTTAGGATAACATGCTTGTTTCGAAAAGTGATGCAATACAAATCAGTTTAACTCTATTTTTCACTCACTTGTTGTACTGCTTAATCAAAAGGGATGTAATGTTATAATTAAAGAGCTGTGAAGTTTCTGATAGTCAGGTTGTTGTCAAAGCAAAGCAAGTCTTAATGTTTAATTTGTATCTTACAGGCATAAGTAGTATCAATCTTCTCATCAGACTCTCTGCAAACAATTAAGTGGCCCCAATTATTATATTTTGTTCAGAATATCCCTGTGTTTCTTGCTGAATCATTCTTTGAACAACTAGTAATCCTCTTAATGGAACTACAAAACACACACATATTTGGCAAACAAAAACATCTTTGCATATTAAAAAAAAGAAGGAAGCTTGGTATTTCCAAAATGCTCAACCCATTACTCTAAACCTAATACAAAAATATACATGTTGTGTAGGTGTGAGACATGCTTTATTCATGATTGTGTTGCGTAATGTTGTCAAAGGGGCCCTATTATGCTTATAAAAATAAATACCTTTTTTACAACATTGAAGCATGGAAACATGTCACATTAGAGGCACAACATTCATATATGAACCGGAAAATGAGCATTATATGTCCTCTTTAAAGTCTGTGTGCGGCTGTTTGCCTGTATATCTCCTTTTTGACACTGAGTCTGCACAACAAGCAACCCACAGAGTTTTGTCAATAGTGCTGGCTGGACTCCCCAACAACAACCCCGCTTCCGTGCTTATCTACCGGCTCCACACTCACACAGCTCCATGTCTGTAATGATACAGGAGTCCTATCTCCATGATGGACCTTAATGCATCCTGACATTGGCACACGGCTCAAACAACATAGCTTTTTAATACATGGCTGTGTGGGTGATCCGCAGCAGCTTATAAAGTAGATTTCTGTCTCTCCTGTCACCTTCGCCTTGTTGGTGCCCCTCAGTCCACACGGGTGGTGTGAACCAGCGGAGCTCCTGTCATGTAGCTCATATCATGGTCTTGATGCTTGCCCTTTTCATATGGTTTAAGAGAAGGTGTGAGAACTAAGTGTGAGCATTGTGAACATGAAGAGCAGAGGCGTGAGAAATTAATTGTGTGTGGCATTCAAGTCTCTGCCTGTCTGACATGTGTCCGCAGATTAACACCAGTGAGGTGGAGGCTCTTCTCTCTCGGCTGCCCTGCACCTTCAGGCAGGAGCTGAGCGGAGTCGGAGCGAGTCTGGAGAAACGATGGAGCTTCTGCGGCTTCCAGGGCATCAAGAGCACATAAACTCTGCCGGAGACGCTTCTGAGAAGAGGGAGAGATGACAGGCCACACAGGTACACGGAGGAAACTCTAGAAATGTGGAGGACGCACAACACTAATGCAGATGTGGGGCTCTACCTGCTAAGACAAGAGCCCAAATTATCCACCGCATATCTCAGATCATGAGGGGGTGTTTTGTGTAGGTTGCAGAGAGATAAATATGCAGGTTTTTGTGATGGCAAATAATTGGCTGCATCTCTATGGTGATCAGGAGATGGATATATCTCTATGGTGACAGTTGCACACTCTCACTCTATCCTTTTTTTTTTTTTTTACCCATGGGATTCAGCTAAAGTCCCATCAGAGAGCCAATCTCAGCGGACTCACGGCATCGGTTGTATTTTTCTACTCCGGTCCCGGTTGGCTCAGTGAACTCGCAGACCCGGACTAAAGGGCTTTACAGGAAGGTCACCTCTCAACCTCAAAACTCTCATAGCTTCCTTCGTGGCTTCCTTTGGATTTTGTACAATAAATAAATATGAAATAAATGCTAAGGTACACGTTTTATCATAGCAGTGATTTTCTTGTTATTGTAAACAAAGAACAGGTTTGACATTGGCTATTAGACGACATTCAAACGGTGCCTTTCAGCCAAGATGCATTCAAACAGACAGTCGATTTTCCTTTTACAATTTTATTTCACATTTTCTGAATGTCAATAACAAACCTTTCTTCTGCCGGATTCATGCCTCAGCCACATTTAGACACAGAAGATAATTGTCTTTGTAGCGTCTTTGTAGCAAAATGTGAAACAGAGCTTCCTTTTGTTTGTCTCAAAAGCTCAAACTAACAGTTTGGTGTTTCTGTTCCTGCAATATGTGCAAGGCACCCGCTACACATCCATGGCAAACATTGTTGATGCACTTATGGAGGAATACTATAGCAGTAAAATACATTTAAAATGAAAGCATCAGGTGGTTTGTGGCTTTAATATGTGGCTTTACAGAAAGTTACAGATGAAACAAATATTAGAAGAAAATATCTTACCGTTGTACATTTTGTTGAAACTGTTCATGCTTTCTGCCCACAGAATTATCCCAGCTTATTGTGCTGGATGATATAAATCTGCCTCATTGTTTCTGTTCTGTATGTCAGCCAAGTCTGATCCCAAACCCTGCTGAAGACGAGCATCTACTGCCATCTATTGGAGACACTAAACAGAAGAGCTTCACACCCTCGGGTCAATAACGGCTGGCGTTGTGCTGTGTGCGACGGTATTTAAGAAAATGCTCTCCTGTTACCTGCTGTATCGACTGATGGCACATTGCATTTTATATTGAGGACAATCAGTACAATGAAACATTTGCATTTAGTTCCTTAAAGGGGCTTTATTTGTGTAACAACAGTTTGATTTAATCCAAACATTACAGTGCACAGAACATATTTTTTATACAAACATACTTTATCATGTCATGTGTCTCCTCAGAATGAAAATAGCAGTTATTCACAGATAAACAACTAGAATATATATGTTCAACATCTGTGTTGTTGACACACTTTGTCAAGGTGTGGTGACACTTCACCCTACATGTTATCAACTGTTTCTTTAAATGATCATGTATATTCCACAGTGGTAAAATACTGTAACCCCCTCATCCACATTGCACTTTACACACACACCAAGCAGCTCTATCAAACACATGATGCCAACATTATTTGAAATTATTAACATGTTTTTTAAACATTACAACCATTTCAGTCAAGTTACCAGCTAAGAGCAGGGGGGTATACTACGAAGCAGGATTTTCGCTTAGCTGGCTAAATTCAGGGAAAACTCCGGCTTTCCGGTCCTACGAAGCTGGTTCTATTTTTAGCAGGCTAGATCTCCATGGTAACTTATGCTTAGTGGCTAACCTGGTCGGGACCAGGTTAGGTTGCAGGCTAAGAGCTCAACTCAGTGAAAGCACTGCCTGCTGACCAATCAGAGCTCAGTGTGCGGAGTTTAAAGCGATCAAGTCATATTACAGGAGAAAGGAAATACAGAAAAGCTGCCGTCGCAGGAAAGACGGCCGGCAAAAATCACCGACTGTGTGAACGTGAACATTAATAGAATATCACCTCCCATCTTCAGAGCAATCTGACTATTATAACATTAGCGTTAAGAAAGCTTACTTACATATCTGCCACAACATAAGTAACCGGATCAGAGTAACATTAAGTACAGTCCGCGGCATATCAAATCATAATGTATCATATTTTCTTATCTGAGTCAGCTGAGCCCTATCTGGCCGTGCAACACTCACAGTGTCACATACTGTATGCAGAAGTATTATTTTAAGCAACACGTTAAGTTGACGAAACACTCGAGACAAATGTAATTAAAGTCAAATCGTGTTTTAGACGGGGCCGTGATATCATAAACCTGTTAATGTACGCATTCAAACACTTTTTCTTTTGCCAGCTGTATTCACCTTGCAGGTGCAGACTATGTGGCTTTCATCCTGGATAAAGTGTTTAAGTCATGGATGTTTAAAGTTTAACTTCTTCATTTTTGACTAGTATTAAAGTTCACTTTTCATTCAGGAAGTATGACGCTGCGCTGTCAGTATGCTTCTCCATGTTTGTGATTGGTCGAATGCTCCAGATACCACCCCTTTCATGTGAACGCGCACCTAACTAGATAGGAAACGGCTGGTTTGAGTGATCCACTTGATAACCAGCGTCGTAGTACAGTTTAGCGAGAGCGCGTATGTTTTGGATTAGGCCAACCGGCTAACTCAAACATATCCAGGTTAGGTTGAACCAGCTTCGTAGTATAGGCCCCAGGTGTGTGTGTGTGTGTGTGTGTGTGTGTGTGTGTGTGTGTGTGTGTGTGTGTGTGTGTGTGTGTGTGTGTGTGTGTGTGTGTGTGTGTGTGTGTGTGTGTGTGTGTGTGTGTGTGTGTGTGTGTGTGTGTGTGTGTGTGTGTGTGTGTGTGTGTGTGTGTGTGTGTGTATAAAGAATAAGCAAAACAGAAGACACTCTTTCAAGACTGGTAAATACAATAAAGATGCAGGAATGTTGGATATTAAAATGGCAGCTACATTGATGGTAGATGTGTGATGAACAATGAGAAAGCTTCTGAGGGATGTAAATGTCGTCCAGTCACGAGAGAATGCTCACATCCACATCTTGCATTCCGAATGCATTTTGTTTAGTTAGTAATAACACAGTCATTGAGTTCTGAGTCTGTTTCCCTCCCAACAGGAAGAAGTGAATCTTTCCATAAGGTGCGCTCTGCTGATCTATATGTACTGGGCGTCCATGATATCCAGATACTTGGCTTCGATGACTCGGGGTAGAAGGGTGGTCCTGAAATAAAACACAAAGAGATACCAGATGATGTTGTGCAGTTACGTACATGTTAGTTTGGAAAAGGTTTCTTAATGTATTAATCCTTCATACACAGACACAAAACGCTTTACAAAAGTGTTTCAAACTTCATATAGGGCAATACAAAAAAGTTCAAAGCTGTATGTTATCTTTCAAACGTTGAAACTCAAATGTTAAAGCCATATTCAAATGCTGCGCAGCTTCTTTCTCTTTCATCTCTATTCATTATGGTCTCTCTGCACAGTTGCAGATAAAGATTAGGCTTTAGTTATATTCTATAAGAAGTCATATCTTTTATGTTGAATTAGATTTCAGTGATAGCTTGTTGGAAAGGACTGTTTCCGACTAGCTTGATCAAATCATTTCCAACAACGTTATTGTATTTCAAAGTGCAAAATTCAATAAAGTAATAAAATATAAATATAATCATTTCTCAAATTCAAACCATGGAAAGAGTTTAAAACGGTTTGCTCTCCTACACACAGAGGAGCATACAATGCTGAACTAAAGTTTAAAGTAAGTTGACATTATAAAAAAGACTACTGCATATACTCTGATGACATGGCATTATCCAAATTGAGGATTTTGTTCAAAGACTTGTTTCTTAGGATGATGATGTCATAAAATCTATATTATAATAATATAACAGACATTCGAGGATTCAATCCAACATCTTTATATGTCAAATAATTACATGTTGTTCAGCCTTACTCCTCATCCTGAGTTTTTATAACTTTGTGGTTTGGTTTTAAAGACCAAGCTAAAATGATATCACTCGGTTATTTCCTCATATTTCATAAAGTCCCCCCCAGAGCCACAGTACTTAATCGACCTGTTTCCAGAACTAAACTGAACTTCATATCAAGAACGAATCTTGGCCAATATACTGTAAACTCTATGCAGACATTGCAGCAGTGTGTTGGTTTCCACGGTGCCGCTCTGCCCCCTGTTGGCCTGGCTCTTCTTACCTGACAGGGACCAGCAGGATCATCAGGAGGGGGAAGACCATCTTCATGTAGGGCAGAGGATACATCCCGAACGCACACAGGATGATCAGCTGGAGCATCTGCAGCGCCGTAAAGTAGTGGACCTTCTTCTGAGGCACGCGGCGAATGTAGTGTGTGGGAGGATAGGAGGTCTGGACAAAGAAAAGTGAGTAACATGTGGTTACAATGCTTTTAGATGACATGTTGCATTACATTTAGTTTCCTAAAGTAAAAGTAGTTTACTTTCAAGTCCATTAAAGTTGGGTAATATGTTCATGTAAAGACACAGTTGTTGCAGGATGAATGAAACATCTGGTTGGAAAATGTTATAATAAGGTATTTTATTTATTATCAAATCATGTTTCTATGAGAAATGTTTTAACAAGATATCACCAGAGGCCTGTACGACGAAGCCGGATTGTCGCTTAGCGAGCTAACGTCAGGGAAAACTCTGGGTTTCCGGTCCTACGACGCTGGTTCACTTCATAGCGGGCTAGATCTCCATGGTAACTTATGCTGAGCGGCTTGCCTGGTCCGGAGCAGGTTAGGTTGCAGGCTAATAGATCAAGTCAGTGAAAGCACCGCCTGCTGACCAATCAGAGCTCAGTGTGCGGAGTTTAAAGCGATCAAGTCATATTACAGGAGAAAGGAAATACAGCTTAGACTGCCGTTGCAGGAAAGACGGCCGGCAAAAATCACGACTGTGTGAACGTGAAAATTAATAGAATATCACCTCCCATCTTCAGAGCAATCTGACTATTATAACATTAGCGTTAAGAAAGCTTACTTACATATCTGCCACAACATAAGTAACCGGATCAAAGTAACATTACGTACAGTCCGCGGCACTGTGAGTGCAGACGTCGATGTGTCCCATTATCATTCATATCATATCACATCATAATGTATCATATAGGCCTATTTCCTTATCTGAGTCAGCTTCTCGAGCCGCATCTGGCTGGCACAGTGTCACATACTGTATGCAGAAGTATTATTTTAAGCAACACATTAAGTTGACGAAACACTCGAGTCAAATGTAATTAAAGTCAGATCCACTCGTGTCTTAGACGGGGCAGTGATATCATAAACCTGTTAATGTACGCATTCAAACACTTTTTCTTTTACCAGCTGTATTCACCTGTAGGTGCAGCTATGTGGCTTTTATCCTGGATAAAGTGTTTAAGTCATGGATGTTTAAAGTTTAACGTCTTCATATTTGTCTAATTATAGTTGAATTTTCATTCAGGAAGTATGACGCGCTGCGCTGTCAGTACGCTTGTCCATGTTTGTGATTGGTCGAATGCTCCAAATACCACCCCTTTCATGTGAACGCGCACCTAACTAGATAGGGCAAAGTTGGCTTGAGTTAACAAGTTGATAACCAGCGTCGTAGGACAGTTTAGCGAGAGCGCGTTTGTTTTGGATTAGGTAAACCGGGTAACTCAAACATATCCAGGTTATGTTGAACCGGCTTCGTAGTACAGGCCTCTGATCTTGTTTTATACTAAAACGTTTTAATAATTTCACAAACTCAACATGTGTCTTCATATAACCAATCTTGATAACGAAATACAGAACTGTTAATAGAAGTGTCTTGTTTTTATAACACGATAGGATTGTATTTTGTTCACCAACTGTTATGCAGAGGTGTCTTGTAATAATGTAATAATATTATAACAAAAATAATTATTTGTGTGCTTTGGGGTATAACCATGACACTGAGCAGGATTCTTATATGTCAAGGTAGCAGCAAGGTTGGCGTATAACTTTCGCCCTTAATTAGACATCTACCATTGAGGGCCATTTGGAGCAGACACCATGTGAAGTTTAATGGATAAACAGGGGGAAAAAGAGATCAACCAATCACACCACAGTGTCCTTGCTGCTCACCTGTTCCTTTAGCAGCAGGGCCATGCGGTCCACCATCTGGTTCCCATCAAGCGATGTGGCTGCGATGTAGAGGAAGAGGCCGTAGAGGACAGGCTTGGGGATCCACTGCAGAGGGATGGGCAGCATGAAGGCAGACAGGCCGATCAGGATGTTGGCCACCAGCGAGGTCAGACGAGTCTCCTTCACACTCACTATACTGTTGGACACAAAGCCAGAGAAATACTTTAAATATCCAGATAAACACTTCTTATCCGATTAGAGAAAGACGTAAGTACAACCATTTACATCTATGTGGAAGACATCAATGTCAATCAAAGAGTGTTCTTCATTTAGGGGGCCCTTAACAACATGAAAAAACTAGTATATTAAGATTAATAGTAAGTAAGTCCTATTTTTACTTTCTTATCCCTTTTATCATCCCAGCTTAATGAAAATGATTTACCTCAGAAATCTTCAAGGGAAATGGAAATATCAAAAACAATCCAATATACTTGCAGTATATGACTAAAATAATGTTCAAATCAGGATCAATATTTATATATTTAAAATAAAATGTACTTTTAAAATAATATATGTACCAAAATAATGTTTTTTATTTAGATATATTTGACCAAAAAACTCAGAATTAGATAAATAGATCATAGTTTTTTTCAAAATAGAGTATC